TCTGTAGTGTTTCCCCCCACCCCATGATATTGCACCCCTCCAACCATCCCTGTCTTACCTCGCTTTTGACGGCCACGTGGCTGAGCGAAGCCAGAGCCCCTTTCTGCCTGCCCGGCGGCAGTTATCCCTAGGGCGTTGGTGGGATGGGCTGCGTGGGGTCACCGAGGGCTGCTCTGGCTGCTGGGTGCACCACGAGCTGCCCTACCAATAGACCTGAGCTCCAGGCAATGTCTCGCTAAGATGTCACTCTCTGAAGATCCGTAATTCCTGCCCCCTGCAGGGTGCACAGCCTCTTGGGGAAGCGCTGTCCATTGGTGCCCTAAATCTCACGTTTTGGTAGCTTTCCCAGGGGTGAATAGCACCTGGAAAGAAAACCTATACAAAACCCTTCTACCCGATGGCTGTGGGCCGCCATGTGTGAAGGAGGGTGCAATCCTTGTGTGGCAGGAACCGGTGACCTTCGAGGACATCGCTGTCTATCTGAGCCGCGCAGAGTGGGACATCATTGCGGCGGGGCAGAGGGAGCTGTACCACAGTGTCATGCTGGACAACTACAAGCTCCTGACATCCCTGGGTAACATGCAGTTTTAACTGGTGGGCTCAGATGTTAGCGGGGGGGCTTGTGTCGTATTTGACTCCATCAGAGTGGTGCCGCTTCCAGCACTTTGAGGGGCTGATCAGCGTGTTTTGAACTACGGTTGCAGGATTGGGATAACTGCTTTGAGCACCTGCAGTCCTGGGGGAGTTTACTGCTGGAAAAATGTAGGATTCGGGTCTGTTTGAGCTGATGGCTGCCTCTGAAAATGTAACCACAGCTGAGCTGCATGCCCTGAGGTCAGGCAGAGACCTGTCGGGTGGGGGGGTCATGGCCATGGGCCAACAACTCTGTCCCCTCCCCTGGGCGCTCAGGCTGCAGCAGGACAGGAGTTGGACATACCAGGCAAGGTGCAGAGGAGCAGACCCATCAGAGGACTGCAAGGTCCCTGAACCAGCAAGGTCCCTTCAGAGGACTTGCCCACTGCCACCAGGGTGGAGATCTCTGATTACCTGCATAAAGGGTCTGAGCCAGGCACCTGGGAGGACGTCCCATGCCCAGGAGCTGCTCCTAGGATGAGCAGCAGATAATCCCTCTCTGGGAAAGCCTCCCAGTGGAGTTGGGAGTCAGTTCCCATACTCCCATCAGGGCTATACCCTTGTCCTTGTGAATAAATTAATCTATGGTAGCAACTCCGATGTCTCTCGTGCTTGTTGCCACGTTTCGGTGGTGTTTCTGCTTGGGCTCTTCTGGTCACAGTGAAGCACAGCTTGGGGTGTCACAGAGAAGACCTTTATTTTCTCATGTTAACAATTTATTCCTAGTTTGTGTTAGAACAACATGCTCTGCTCCACCCCCCAGGTTACCCAGGCCCCAAACCTGACATTTTATACCGGATGGAGCGTGGGGAGGAGCCGTGGGTCTGCACACCACAGAGCTCAGTGAGGGGGGATGGACCCAACAGCCCCTCTCCAGGTGAGCAGGAACAATCTAACCCCTGTAGGACCACTTACCTTGACAGGAAGCAGTGGCACATTCCCAAGGCCACCCCAAGCTTCTTTTCTCTGTAGCTGTGACCAACATGTCTGTGGGGTTCCCACTTGCCCTCCTGTCCAAATCTGTCCCCTCCTCGCTGCCTGTTTTGAGGTGTCTCCCCCATTTCCCTCTGGCCCTGCAGCCCTCCCCGCACAGGGCAGCAGCAGCGTCAAAGGGAAACGGAGGCTGCCTCTCTCCCTGCGCAAAGGCTGCAGCTCCGCAGAGACGTTGCTGATCTGCTGCTGCTTGTCCCCCTCAACCCATGGAGAATCCCCCCCATTCGGTCACCTGTGAGCCGAGTTGTGGCTTTCTGCCTGCTGGCGGCGGACAGGGCTTCCTCCTCCGACCCCATGGCTGTGGAGCAGAAGGGCTTCCCCTGCCAGGAAGGTGACATCCATCTGGTTTCCCTGCAGGACACAATGGGGACATGAGCTGGCTGGAGGAGCCTCCCTCAGGCTGGTGGCCTGGTGCTGGCGGGCGCCGTCTGCTGGAAGAGAGGACGCAGACCCCCTGTCTGGGTGAGTCCTGGTCCCCCCTCTTCCTCATCACGAGCCTCTGGTGCAAAGAGCCCAAGATGGGCTCCAGCCCCATCCCTGTCCCCAGCTGCCTGTGCTGCACCTGATCATCACTGCCAGGGCTGCTCCCACCCTGGTGCAGGCAGCATCCCCAGGCAGGGCTTGACTCTCCTGCCCATCCAGGCAGAGGTTGGGGATGCGGAGCCCAGGTGGCTCCTGAACTGGGGAGAATGGATTTTTCTTACTGGCTGTCAGCACCTCCCCTGTTTGTTTAGCACGGTCCCTCTCTCCCTGTCCCACTGCAATGCCCCATCCAGAAAGAAGGCAAACTCTTCCCAACCCTTTCTCAGCAGGAGGACGGTGCATGCAGTGGCGTCTCCGGTCTAGAATGCTGCTGAACAAGTTCAAGTGTTTTGGGGGTAGGAGCGACTTGCCATCAGAGGTGGCCAGTAGAGGAGTGGGGCCAGTGGAAAGCCAAGACCGGGCACAGACGGTCTTCTGCCCTGGGAAAGAAAGAGAAGTAGAGGATAAACAAGGGGTGACAGCAAACATAACCCAAAGCAGAAGATTTCCACTTCATCCAGTGATGGAACAGCAGAACGAAAAGGCAGGTCCTCAGGAGCGTCTGTGTGGTGACCCTAGGGAGAGGTTTCAAAGGAGTGGCCAAAAAAGTCGATGCACTTCGGGAGAAGTGACGTTTGTCCAGGGAAATAGGGAACTGTCTATCGAGGAGCTGAATGAGATTATTTTGAAAGACCACTGTTACTGTGTGATGAGTGATGCACAACTCTTGCGTTGCACCCCACATCCATGTCCTCTGAGAGAACACGACTACTGCAGGAACCGCAAGATTGGTGTCGCAGCACTTAAGGACCACGAATATTGTCATGTGCAAAGGATTCGTTACCAGGGCAGAGTTAATAAAATTGTTTGGCTTACTGGTAAGGCTCGGTCCGTGCTTCACAGGCTGGCAAAGCGAAAATCTCCGATAGGGCGAATCATCAGGAAAGCCAAGCGAATCATGTGGAATTACAAGCCTTGTGTCAACAAGAGGTTGGAGTTTTCTCAGGGTTCCTCTAGCACCGGCAGTCTTTCTGAACCCGCTGTCCCTCCTGCTAAGGCAGAAGACGACCCCACAGAGGGAACGTGTGGGGCATTTTGTTCTCCTGCAAAGCAGGAGGCTGTGTCCCCCCAGTCTCAGAGCAAGCGGAGCTCCCAAAGGGAGACGTCGGAAGCACTCAGTGCCCCTGTGATATCTTTTGAACAGGTGGCTGCACCCTCACCCTTAAATGCAGCCGCAGAGGTGAAGAGCGAAGTGATGCACCCCGAGGCGTCCATACCCCACAAGGCGCAGAGGTCACAGCTCACCCAGAGCTCTGATGCTAAGGAAAATTTTGAAGGACATGAACTTGTTAATTCAAATCATGTATCACTGCATGATGCATATAAAATGGTGATGCGGACTGTCGACCACATGTTGGGTTCCGTGTGCCAGAACTTTGAGCTTGGTGGCTACTCTCAGCATAAGGATATCTGGCCCATCATCATTCAGATAGACAGCTGATTGTCAGCAGAAGGGCGAGAGCGACTCCTGGGTCTGTTGAGGTGAACAGTCAGGACCTTCTTCCCTGCAGCAAAACCCACTGAGGTGATTTGAGAGAAGAAACGCCGTGAAAGGCAGGCAGAGGCAGATTAGTGGGTATAAGCCTGCTGGGGCAACTGGGATTGTCTGGGAGGCTTTGGGGAAAAGGCCAAGCGAAAGGGAAGGATCACTGTGGATAAAAGGAGGAAGCACGGGAAAACGGAGTGAAGGGGGAAGGACGGGGCAGCTGGTCAGTATGTTTTCTGGACGGGTTGTGCCTGATCACTGTGGTCTTTCCTGTCTCCTCATTAAATTATTTTTAATGTCCATGTTGTCACACGCTCTGGTCTGTCCATCTGCGTGCGGGCTGTGCTTGCAAGCAAAGGAACAGCTGCTCACCGGGCCCAGGCGAGGAGGAATCCGCTGGCATCTTCGGGCCACTGAACTCATCTGCCATTAGTGCTTTGCTCTTCCCTGCCTGATGCAGGCAGCGTGCCCAGCTGTCTGCGTTTTCCCATAGTAATTAAAGCAGAATGAATGGACAAAAAATTTTAGGGTACGATATTAAAGGACTTTGGTTTTTGATGAGACTATGCAGGTATCTCTTATAAAAGCAGGTGAGGATGTACCGTGCAGAACCCTGCAGCATTCTCTTTCTAAGATTACTGAAAAAAAGCACCGTTTGGCAGATCTCTGTAATGGGGACATCATTACAGCTGCCAGCAGAAGACCAGTCCCTGACCAGGAGGTGAAGCTCCCTGAATTCCACCATGAGAGGTGCCAGGAGGAATTGCTGGAGGTGTGGGACACTGGTGAAGGAAGTGGCAGCAGCTGCAGGCAGTGCAGTTTGGGCGGCTGGGCTTCACCGGTGGTCAAGGGGGAGCTGAACCCTCCCGGTGAGGGAAGTGGGGACCGGGACCTTCTGGAGAGAAGAGTCTTGCAAGACCAATAGTGCCCAGGGAACCACAACACTCACTCCAGACATGGATGAGATTACTCTGGGAATATCAGAAAAGCCAAATTTGAGTATAAGCATAGCAAAAATGGGATAAATGTGTAATATTTTGTATTGGAAACAGCGTGGCCAGCAGGAGCAGGGCAGTGATCGTCCCCCTGCACTGGGCACTGCTGAGGCCGCACCTC